CTATCTGTCTCCCTCTCTCATCGTCCTAATCCTACTCCAGGATACCATCGGCATACACCCCTCCAACTTTGGCATTCCACCGGAAACGGCGCTCATAGCCGAACTCAACAAAAAGTACGCCAATCGAGTGCTTCACGATGTGGGGCTGTGTGTATGCGTGTTCGATTTGACAGAGGCGGGTGAGGGGAAAGTTCGGTATGGGGATGGCTTTTTATATTACAAGGGTACGTCGACTGCACGGTGGGAAATGTAAGAGCTGACCTGAAATAATGCAGTCGTATTTCGCTTGGTCGTCTTTAGGCCGTTCACATCCGAAGTGATACTCGCAAAGGTCAAGTCGTCGGATGCTGAATCTATTCGATGTACGTTTCCAGACTTCATTCCCCTTCTCTGATCTCATTCAGAATCATAGTAACGATGGGATTCTTCGACGACATATACATACCATCGATATACCTCCCCCAGCCTTCGGCATTTGACCCTAACGAGCGCGCCTTTTTCTGGGTGCCAGAATCCGAGCTTACTACGTCTTCGCAGCTACTGGATACGGACGTCGCGTCGAGGATGTACATCGATGCTGGGGAAGTCGTACGTGTGCGGGTCGAGGCGGATGAGTTTCATGATGACGAGCCGGGACCGCCGAAGATGGCTGAAGGTGTGCAGGTGAAGCAGGAGCCGAGGAGAGCGCCGTATCAGATCATTGTGTGTTTTCTCTTCTGTTTTCTTTTTTTTTTTTCGGCGTTGACGGGTTGACCAGTGTTCGATAGCGGAGTCAGGCCTTGGGAATGTGTCGTGGTGGAATTCGTCTCAAGAAGAGGATGCTGAAGGTGACGTAGTTATGGAAGAGTAGAGCTGGTATGTTCGTCAAGCTTTCTAGCATCTGGAACATCTTATTAACATCAAACCACGTAGTATAATGCCATTCCTCTTCCTTATATCCTTGATCATTCGCACGGCGTGTCTCTTTCCCGTAATCCACACTCGAGTCGCACCATCATCGCATGGTTGAGTCGGTTTCGGTACTTTGTTTTTGCTTTCGGTCACAACTTTTTGCCTCAGTGTCTAGCATGGATAATGGGGAAGGAAATGGACGTCGTACTTGCCTCAAGCTATAGCACCTTTAGTGGACGCCCTAATCGAACGGTGCACATACGACCGTTTACACAATTCCTATATCTTGATGAAGAGGGGTGTAGTGTCTGCAGGAAGAGATTGAAATTATGTGCGATGTCATGTGCAAAAAATCGAAATATGGACCCGCATTGGGTTAGTGGGATGCACGATGACGTGTCGCGATACCGACGGAAGGCTCGAGTTTTTGAGGTAGACGTGTCTTTGGAGAACTCATAACCGAATGGAAGTTCGCATGTACTTGTCATCGCTGTATGTGGGTTCTCTGCGAGGTGGTTGTATGCAGCCTGCTAGGAAGTTCCATCAAATCATCAAATGAACTGCCGGGGTGCCTCTTGCTTCTTTCTGGTGCCGGGCTTGTGATGCTGGTGAGTGGGTTGGTCGTCGGCTCGGTGCTAATAGAAAGGTATGTGGTCTTCCTCACCAATATCACACTTCTATTCATTTGAATTGGTCAGGCGATGGGATAACGACTCTAACTGTGCTCGGAAACAAAAGGTGGTGGTGTTAATCTTTTGTGCGTTTTCTTTAACACTTTCAAGCCTTCGAATTTTACTGATGTCACGCAGCGTCATCCTAGCTACCTTGGGGGGCCTGGGTTTATGCGCCGTTTGAACGTTATAAGCAGACACATCCCGACGAGCTACATACCGTTGCGGAGATGCATTGTTCAAGATCTTTGACATGCATGATATGCATGTACCACCAGTCTGGACATTAGTTCCTGCGTAGTCCCCGAAGACACACCGGCCACGACGTGTGCTATTCTTAGGCCGGCGTCTGCTAGTCGCATCCTATTCGGCCGCGCAACCTTAATATTTTTAGCTGCCACTTTCAGCGGAACATTACGCAGATCGTCTAGGAAGTGTGAACTACCGCAAACTTGGCTATCATATATTGCGCAGATACTAGATCTGTTCACTGTTCACTGTTGGGTCCCCAGCAGCAGTGACAGCATTCGAGGAGGTCTGAACAGCCGGAAGCCTGGGGCTTTCTGTTCTCCAAGTCCAGGGACTAGTAGCGTCATACTACAGCTAGTCACCATGAGGAAGGATACCGATGGTGGTCCGTCATTTTCTTGCGTGCGAGCCATGCTGAAGTATGACCGCAGATTCATGATGCGGGAACCGACCGGAATATATACGATCAGCTATAGTAAGTCAAAACCGGTACATCGGTGGTGGATGCTTCCTACGGCCTTGCGAGTATGCAGGCTGACATATTGGTTCCACACCTCCTCGGGCGGGAATCAGTGCTGCAGCGCTGTTTGAATGCACTGAATTCACATTGCTAGATGTCTATAACACATCGGTCACACATTAGCGCCTCACATTAGAAAGCGTAACGTGGACCCCATAGATGGATACTCTCATCATCATCATTACGGGGAAGGTGTCCTTGTTTCCGTTTGACCAAATCATGCCAGTCTCTCTGACCCTCAGCGTCTAGCATCGGTCGCAAGACACGCGTTAACCGTGCTATCCATGTTGGTGCACCACTTGTTTTCCCGTGAGATTCCCACGAGAACTGCTGCTTCGCTTCCGATTGTGCGTCGCAAAATGAAAATAGATGTATCTCCCCACCGATGGTATTTCGGCTTCAGTTTCGAATGTTGAGCCCTTGATTCCTTTATGCCGAAGGGAAAGAGAACCCAGAGTACGCAGGAAGAGACCACGTTTCGTCGACTATTTATTGCTGCCTTGTGTTTCTTCCTGGCAAAACCATGGCGCCTCCCTCTGTAACGAGCTCGCTTCCCTCTGCAGAACATTCCCCTGAGTCTAATGCTACTGCAATAGAACCTCTGGACATGAACAACAATCAGCCCAATACTCGGATATGCAAATGTCGATGCGATCCCGACTGCAACTGTTCATGTCCATGCTCCGCCCACTGCACGTGCAATAAGGAATGCCCCGAAGATTGCGAGTACAAATGCAAAAAGGACTGTGGTTCACGAAAGTCCTTCCGAAACCTGGTTGTTTGCATTGATGGGACCTCCAAGCAGTTTGGCCATCGTGTTCGTGATCTTGACAGTATACCTTACCGCCCTTGTGCTGACAAGGCATTTTTCTAGAACACCAATGTCATAGAGTTGTGCAACCGCATACTCAAGGATGGCGGGGACGTTCCCCAAGTTACGTTCTACTGCAGCGGCATAGGAACTCGTGTTCGGCGCGACAAGTCCCTGCTAGCTAACTGCATAAACTTCATTGACAACAAGATTGATCTGATGACCGCATGGTGATCCCTCTTGTTTCTTCTGAAAACATACGCTGATTGCATATTGGGTGTATCAGGAATCTCAAGCGCATTGTCAGAGAGGCGTACCAATGGTTGGTCGACCACTATAAACCTGGGGATCGGATATATCTATTTGGTAGGTTATTTCTCGTTCAAGCGCTCGCCAGATTAATGTATTCCTCTTCAGGGTTTTCTCGTGGGGCGTACCAAGTCCGAGTTCTAGCAGGGATGATTAAAAAGGTTGCTTCTACTGTATTTACCGCCTCTCTATCCTGATAGTCCCCACGCAGCTTGGTCTGGCTGTAGCGGGAAACAAGGATTCTATTTTTCTGTGAGATATCTTTTCGTGATGCTTGGTCGCCCTAATCCTTTATGCAAATGCATAGTGCCTATGAGTTGTATGTCAACAAATATAAAGGCCGAGGTAAAGAACACAGTCACTCTCCTTCCATTCTTCTGACATCTAAATGACGTGTCTCCATCAGTAATCAAGGACGAAGATGAAGCTGAAGCTCTCGCTGCAAATTTCAAGGACACGTTCTCGAGAAATATCAAGGTGCATTTTGTGGGTGTATGGTGCGTCTGTTCCGCTCTAGATCTCTGCGGGAACTTAGTGTTCTTATCATAGGGACACTGTTTCGTCCGTGGGACTCGTGCTAGAACCACCTTTACCACTGACTACTCAAGCCTTTCATATCTGTTATTTCCGTCATGCACTGGCTCTGGACGAACGCCGCGTCAAGTTTCTTCCTGAATTTTTGGCTGGCGGACGGACACCGCAGCTTGACAATGAGTACTATGAAGGCGGGTATACCAATGTCGATGTCGATGAAGTTTGGTTTATGGGTACTCATGGTGACATGTACGTCGAAAAAAGGCATCATTTTCGATCTGTCGTACTAACACCTTTCGTTCACAGTGGTGGAAGCGCCAAACGACGTCATGCCTTTGATCTCTCCCGGATTCCTCTGTTATGGATGGAGCATGAAGCCAGTGAAACCGGCCTCCGCTTTTCACCACGGGAAACCATAAGGAAATGGAAATGGGATCATCTTCAGGAAGACAAGCCAACCAAGTCCCTGAGCGCATTATGGTGGGTACTTGAGTGTTTGCCCATCAGGCGATTCAAGTACACCGAGGTAGAGATTACCACACGGTATTGTATAGCTTTCACGACAGTTTTGTATAGCAATATTAATTCTAGATTTTTTCAGTAAACCCAATCTTGGTAGAGGTCGCTCCATCGCTCCTCGACAGCGTATTCACGCTTCTGTGGTCTTCAAAAACAGTGAAACCTATACTCCCGCAGCTACGTTCATCGGTGACAAGGCGATGAATTGGGCATCTCTAGTTGGAATAGTGGATGGGGAAAATGAACTCAAAGATCTGTCTTGGGCTGATGAATGGGAGCATATGCTGGAGATGGATCTCTTTGACGATTTTCTTGTTCAAGATACGATACGCAAGCTTAAAGGTTTGAGAACTGGCACCGAGGCCCGAAGTATCTGGACTCTAGACCAACAATCGCTCCTTCTGCGACGTTTATCATTCATGGCTTTGTCCAGTAAGTTGATGACTTGTATACGCATCATTCATTCCTCACTAGATTCAAGAACGATGTGCAAAACAGATCTCTAGCGTAATCGGTGATCTTGTGGCTATGCTGTCTGACAAAGATGTCGGCATCCGAGCTGCAAGTGCCTCTTGTCTCTTCCAACTTGCGAAGCACTGTATGTTTTTCCCAGTTCATTATCCCAGTGGGGTAACATGCAACATAATATAGGGTACGATCAACAAATCCTCAACGCCAAAGCCGGGTCACCACTCCGACAAATGCTGCACTCTCGGGTTGAAGATCCAGACTCAGACCGAGTCGCCAGTCTCCAGTGTCTCTCCCATCTGATCTTGGATCCTGAGGAGGACAGAGCATGGTTCAATATGCCTGTAAAGAGTACCAAGTACTACAAGGAGGCTCGGTGTATTGTGGAAGAAAAGCCAGAAGTCTGGTCACCTGTTCTCATGAAACTGATAACCGAGTCGCCAAAAACCAGCGACCAGATTTTGGGTTTATCTTGTCTAGCACGCTTGGCTAAAATAGGTTTGTGGTTCTTCGTGATTGGTGCTTATACACATACATATACTGGTCTTGGCAGAGGAAATACGAAAGACGTTCATTACAGAGATTGGTAACACCGGTGAGTTACCATTGGTGAAGTTTCTTGGTGGCTGAGCCATTACTTTGAAGGGGTGCAACGTTTAGCCATTAAGCTTGTGAATCTCTTGAGAGACATCCGAACCAAATATCATACTTCCATTGTACTTCAAAGGATGTCCAAAGAGCTTTGTAGTAGGTTTTGTCACTCCTCATTGTTTTATTTCACTATTTATCTTCTATTCTAGAGGAGATCATTTCAAGTGGCGTGAAGACGCTGCAGGAAGGCCTGATGTCGATGATTAAAGATGGACATCCTAAAGCAAAAGGAAGTAGTGCGCTGTGCCTCAGCAGCTATTTTGACGCGGGTAAGATCTTAATGAATATTCAACTCACTACTCCTTGACGATATGATATAAGAAGCTAAATTCCGCGAACAAGCAATGCTGGATTCAGAGTTTATCATCGTATTGATGACCAAACTCTTTGGCATCAATGAGCACTGTTTCCCGGCTCAGAAAGGAGCTGTCATAGCAGCGTTTTTGAAGATAGTCGATCATTGTATGTATTCTATCTTCCTAGCTAATATAAACCACACTGAAGATGCTTCTGCCGCAGCCGACAGTGCTACGAAACTGGCCGAACCCAAGGTTATAAAAGCAATTGTTAAAACCTTATCTGTAGACAGGTGGCTTGAGAGAATGGAAGCGTCAAACCTTTTGGTCGGAATACTATCTGGAGGTGCAGTTTTCCGTTATCTTTGCAAAACCTTTTCATGATAGGTTTGTCCACCAGAACATACCTCAGATGAAGTGAAGAAGTCCATTATTGAAGAGCTGGTGACAGTGGGCGTTGATGATGATGCTTTGTATCGGACTCAGGTCTATTTTCGAGAACTGTATGAATGCGGTGTGTCACCTCGTGTCGGCTCAAGGACTTTGGTGACGAAATCTTACAGATAAAGTACGCGAGTTCGTATGTACTCGTCGGGTCTTTAGCACGGTCGCTGATGCCTTACTGCATGAGCATTCCCGAGAGAACGCTCTTCAATTTCTCAAACGTATCATTGAAAACAGTATGTCATTCACGTTCCACTGCATACATTACCCTTGCATCTAATGGAATATCTATACGATAGACGAGGCGCGGATGATTATGACTGACATCTCATTTCCTGATACCCTTGCTGCCCTCGGTCAGAACGTTTGCAGTAGCCGCGGTATAGTCTCGACCGTCTGTAGCACTTTCAAGGTGTTCGTTGCGCTTTGTCAGAATGTCAAGAAAGGCGAGAGAAGCATACGCTCTGCAGTCCACCCCACTTTCGAGGTGTTCCTCAAAAGCATTTTTAGAAGCGACAGGGGCGCGCTATCCGCTGTCCGGAACGCTTTAGAGGGGTTTTCTCTGTACGGTACGTACCGTTGATTATCCGATGCAAATTCAAATTCAACTCACTTGCAGTATAGAGGACTTCCAGGCCTTGTTTCTTGAACAAGACATCTTTGAGATCATAGTCAAGGATATGACAATGAGTATCCTCGAGACCCATGAAGGTCATCACATCGATGCACAGATAGCTGGATTCAAGTGCTTACAGAATCTTGTCGACTACCGTGGGTTACTCCATATTATGTGTCGGTGTCCGCTCTTAATTGTATGTCACCAGCTGAAACCCGCCTTATGATACTCGAAGGTATACGTGACGAGAGTGTTGGAAATTTTGCATTGTCCTTATTAGTGGAAGTAACGGGCCAAAATCACTTGCAATGCCGCAATGTGCCAGGGGGCAATGTGTCACCATGCTTGCCGAGAGTCCGTGGCTACATTGTGCCATATAAGGAACCTGGCAAGGATAAGTCCGAAAGAATGTAATGCGGCATTGCTTGCCGGACCGGCAAACCTAACAATGACATTACTTTCTAATAATTTCTTTTACAATGTATATTGCATGCCTGCAAGGACATTAAAAAGGATGTAATAATCAATGATACAATGCGGCAAAAAGTACCATGAAAACCATTACTTGGCAGCCCAAAACTATTTTATTTCAGGAATTCCCGCTTACCTGAAACTCTGTTTACTTCACTCATCCAAACCTAAGGAAATCCTGTTATTACAAGAGAGGGAGTTGAACCAGCAACCTTTAGAAATTGATTAGTAAGCATTACAACAGATTAGCCCATTACACCATAACTGTATATATTTATAAAGCATTTCAGTTATTATGAGGTAGCATCTGTTACAGGTTCTTCAACCAGGCCATACAGCAATTCACCTGCAGATTGCATTCAAGACTATGACTATGAGACAGACTATCAATGAGCATACTCCAGGTCTTCCTCCTCCTCCTCCTCCTCTTCTTCCTCATCATCATTGCCATTACCCTCACTCTCACTTGCCTCCTCCTCCTCGTCCTCTACACGATCAACCTGGACTATGGAAACAGCACGGATACCACCTCTGTTGCCGGATCTAGCCCCAGACCTGGTTCATCTGATGGGCAGATTCAGAGGCAGATGCTGAGGCTCAGAGTTGTTCTGCTTACGACCTTGGCCATGACGTGTAACCTTCTCCACTGGTGCTGGCACCGGCACCTCCATATCGCTTTGCACAGGAAGTCCTTGGCCATGAGCACTACGATGTGCTGGGGCCTCCACACCAGAACTTGCTTGCTTTCTTCCTCTCTTTTCATTCGAGGCCATAACGCGGGACTGCACCAATGGGACAGGTGGAATCTCACCGACACTCCCAACTATGGGAGCAGGCACAGCCTGAGCACTGGCCTCATGGTTAGGGTTGTGGGCAGTGACAATGGGCAGTGCACTGTCGAAATCGGATTCATCTGAATCCATCTCTGCGTCGATGTCATCCAGTGCCCTCAAAATCTCCTCCTCTTCCGAGTTCTCCTCTAGATTGGCCTTCACAGTCGGTACCGCCAATGCTACGTGTTGAGAGGTGGGGAAGACCTGTTCATTGTAGAATCGAACAGTGGCCAACATTGACCTGGAGCCCTTGGCAAGCTTCTTTTCGATAGTACTGACATAGAACTCGAAGTTGGAGAAGTAGTTGATCTTGGACTTCGCACCTCTGTCTGTGGTAAAGATGGGGTTGCCAGAGGGCAGAAAGCAGAGCTACATGACCTGTATCAATCATGACACTTGCCGAAGTTTGGAATCGGTGCTTACCATGATTGCTGCATATGTCATGGCGGCCGGCGTCACCTCTGTGATGTTCCACAACCCACCATAGGTCATCTTTGTCTGGAATTTTTTGGTGCTGAGGGCACTTGCTCTCCAGAGTATACATATTAGGATCTTGGAGCCCTGTTAGCACTACTTATCAAGTCTAAGAAAGATCAAGACATACCTTCACAGCTGCAGGAGTTCTGAATAGAGTATCCCCCTCAATCCTTTTCCTGGGCTCATAGAGACATGGGCACAGATGTGCCATGCTGTCTTTGTCCAGATCATAACCAACGAGCCACCGACATAGTGGATCGGCATACCTATCAAAGTCTCGTACAAAGCAGTCAGAAGGAACAATGCCCTTGCAGATCTCTGCGGCATTTGTTTTCATCCGATTGACAAAGATTGGATGAATGTCCCTTGCCACAGCACTCATCTAAACCTAAATTAGCACCAATTATAGAAAATTTATGTTGTACTGACAATTTTTTTGAGCTTATGATAAGATCCTGGAATAGTTCTGCTGATGAAAACATGATATTGACTTGCCAGAGCAACATTGTTAGCGACCGATATAACAAACAAGATCAAACAACTAAGCGTGACTCGCACTTCGGTCAGGCGCTTTGTGTTGTCCGCAGGTTTGCGTTTAAGGGAGCTATCGCTTAGTTGAGCGAGAGTGAGTTCAGACTAAGTTATCGGGTGAATAAACTTTAGTTCGAGACTGAGGTTTAAGACCTGCAGTCGAGCTACTTAAATACAGTTTGGGTCATGCTAAATATACTACAAGTGTCTGCAACGGTACGGTAAACGTACTGTACCCTCATGGTGTAATGCGATCAAGTCCGGAGAATTAGCATAGCGGGATTACGAGAGAGCCGATAAGATAAGATAAAGCGCGAAATCATAATATTACCCCCCTGTTAAGGCAGTCGTCCCGACTGCAGTATAACTTGGTTTTGGAAGGTAGGCTCCTACGAGAGAGGGTGCATTTGGCTTTATCAGGTATTCTTGGATTGCCTGTACTAATGGGTGGTCGATTTCTGACTCTGTTACGGATTCATGTTCGGACCAAGAGTCTGATTCGTCTCCGTCTTCCCACCACTCTGCTGGAGGTCGAGTGATGAACGAGACTTGTTCGAAATCTTCGATTGCGTCTCTGGCATTGTCCAGGTCTTGTTCATCTACCCAAGAGTTTTCCTCCCGTGGATACCCTTTCCACTTGACGAGGTATTCGATTCCGGTGCCGCGCCTTCTTCCCCTTCCTCTTGCTCTTTCTCTTCTGTCTACAATTTCTTCCACTTCATACTGTTCTTGCCCATCTATGAGGTCCGGTGGTGGTGGTAACGGCTGTACCTGGATTGGGAACTCTGGCGGATGATATGGGGTGAGAAGGTTTTCGTTGAAACGGTCATGGATTTTCCAGGCGGGAGGGAGCCGTAATTTATATGCGGATGCACCATGTTTGGAAAGCACTTCGAAGGGTCCTACGCGTTTGTCGCCTAGCTTCTTCATTGGTCGAGGAAGCGATAGGTTTGTAGAATCCAACCATACTTGGTCTCCTGGTTGGTATTCTATGGCCGCTCGTTGGTGCTTGTCATATTGTCGTTTCATGGTTTCTGCCGCCTTTTCGAGGGCTTTCGCCGTCTGTTCGTGTACCTTCTGTATATCCGCTACGAATTCTCTTGCGGCCGGATTGGTTCCTTCTTTAATCTTAAGTGGGGCGAGATGCGGCTTCTGTCCATGATTGACCTCGAAGGGGGAATATCCGGTTGCGGAGTGTTTCCGGTTGTTATGTTGGAAGGCTGCGAGGGGTAACCATTCGCTCCAGTCGTTCTGTCGGTGGTTAATGAAGATGCGGAGGTATTTTTCAATCTCCTGGTTGGCCCGTTCCGTTTGTCCATCGGTTTGGGGATGGTAAGCCGTAGACGGGTTTCCCTGTATGTGTAACATTTCATATAACTCTTTCATGAATTTGGATACGAATTGTGGTCCTCTGTCCGAGATCACTTTTTGCGGCATTCCATGCTTTGCCCACACGTGATCTCGAAGGATTTTGGCCCATCCTTTGGAGGTCAGTTCCGTGGAGCATGGTATGGGAATGACTTCTTTAGAGAAACGATCTACGATCATTAGGATCGCGTTGTACCCATTTGAGTTTGGTAATTCTCCTATCATATCAACCGTGATATGTTCCCATGGTCGAGAGGGGACCGCATGCGGGTGTAAGGGGGCTCTTTTCCTTTGAGTGCTTGTCTTGGTGCGTTGACATGCTTCGCATCCTTTTACATATCGCTCCACATCGTTCTTGAGCTTGGGCCACCAGTACTCTCTTTGGACGAGTTCTTTGGTTTTTTCAATCCCTGGGTGTCCTGCTGTGATGTGATCATGGTGATAGGCGATGAGCTCTCCTCGTAACTTGGCGTCTCGTGGCACGTATAATCTTCCATCATAATACATCAATCCTTCCTTCTGTGTTACTCCGCGGGGGTGATGTAGGGATGCTTCGATTCCCTTATCCCATCAGGTAACGTCTCGCAACGCCGTCCTGATTTTCTTGTGTATTTCTTCTTCCCCCGGCATAATGAGCGCTCTGAACATTTCGGGTTTCAGCACGACTACTTCGCAGTTGTCTTCGCTTCCCTGGTCGTGATCTGCCCGTCGCGATAGTAGGTCGGCTTTCTTGTTAGCCGTGCCCGGTTTATGATGTAGAGTGAAATGATATTCTGCTAGCTCCGTCACCCACCGCGCTTGACGACGGTTAAGTTTTTGGGGTTTTCGGAAGTATTGGAGATTCTGATGGTCGGTCCAGATCTCGAATTCCTGATGCGCTCCCATCAGGTAATGCCTCCAGTCTTCCAGAGCTAGCATAATTGCTAGAAGCTCCTTGTCATATATCTCGTAGTTGCGCTCCGTCACCGTTAGGGCTTTGGATAGGAATGCCACTGGTCTCCATTTCCCTTCCTGTTCTTGAGACAAGACTGCTCCTATTGCTCCTTCGCTTGCGTCTGCTTCCACGCGATACTTCCCGGTCCGGGTAGGTATTGCCAATACCACTTCTTCGGCTAACTTTCTTTTGATTTCCCGGAATGCGTTTTCTTGCGAAGTCCCCCACGTCCATTCGCTTTTCCCGGTAAGTTGTGTTAGGGGTCGTACATGTTTGCTGTAGTCCCGAATGAACCTTCGGTAGAAGTTTGTAAATCCCAAGAACGACTGTAGCTCTCGTTTTTTGGTGGGTCGGGGCCATTCCGTAATACCTTTTACTTTTACGGGATCCATGCGTATCGACCCCTGACTGATGATTACCCCAAGGTACTCTGTTTCGAGTACCTCGAATTCGCATTTTTCCGCCTTTAGGAATAGGTTATTGGCGTGGAGAATGGTCAACACTTCTTGTACGACGGCCTGATGTCTGTCTTTGTCCTTTGTACAGATCAGGATGTCGTCTAAGTATACGGTGACATCTCCTCGTGCGATTTGTTCCTTGAACAAGTCGTTCATCATCCACTGGAACGTCGCTGGGGAATTGGTGAGTCCGAAGAACATCACCATGGGTTCGAACAGACCCCGGTTGGTTCGGAAAGCGGCCTTCCACTCATCTCCGCTCTTGATTCGTACATTGTTGTATCCCCATCTCACGTCTAGCTTGGTAAAGTATTTGGCGTCTTTGAGTTGGTCCATCAATTCTCTGATAAGGGGGAGGGGATACCGGTTTTTAATGGTTAGCTCATTCAGCTTTCGGTAGTCCTGTACGGGTCTAAGTTTTCCGTCTTTCTTTTTGATGAAGAAGAAGGGAGAGGCCATGGGAGACTTAGAAGGTCAAATCCTTCCTGACTCCAGATTTTCATCCAGGAATTTGTCTAGCTCCTCCTGCTCCGTGGGGTTCAAGGGGTACACCTTGCAGTCCAGACTAGCTTGGGCGTTGGGAACTAGTTCGATTGCATGGTCCCATGGCTTCCGAGGGGGTAGCTCGTCAAAGTTTTCCTTGGCAAAGACGTCCTGGAACTCTCGGTAGGCTTCAGGGACTATTTCCTCAAACGTCTTTGTCTTCTTTTCTTGGTTGGCTTTGGCGGCTAGCTCATTGGCTTTGCTCCCCATCGCCCGGACGTGAAAGGCTTGTTCGAAGTCTATGATGAGGATGGTGTCTCCTTCTTCCACTTCTTCTCCCCAGCCCTGTTCTGGGTCTTCGTCGGGTAGTTGGAATGGTATTTTGCGGCATGAACATCGGGCTAAGGTTACAGCTCCGGTTTTCCAGTCTATAATGGGATTGTGTCGTTTGAGCCAGTCATGTCCCAGGAACAGGGGAACGTTTCCTAGATCTACGACCGCTAGATCGATTTTCTCGTGGTGGTCGCCGATCGTCATCCGTAATTCTACGACTTCCGTGATGTCCCCTCCCTTATTCCTGCTTCCGTCTGCATTGTATACTGCCTGCGCCTTGGGTAGTTTTACCGTGTTCATCTGGTGCTCTTGTACGAATGTTCGGTTTATACAACTTCCCGTACACCCGCTGTCTACTAGGGCGTTGGTGGCTCGTATTTCCCCGGTGTCCAGGGTTTCAAGTTGGACACGGATGTTAACGCTCCTCCCTTTTCCTCCTCGGATATATTGGGGGGGAACACGCAGATCCTCCATATTTTGTAAGCATTGCTCCCGTTGGCGATACGTTTCTTTTGAGGATCCGATGAGGTCTAGTACGAGATCCTCATCTACCTCTATGAGGCGTCTGGGGTGTACCCACATTCGGAGGGTGGCGAGTCTTCCATCCATAGTCTTCTCCTGTCTCATCTTTCGTCTTACCCACTCGGCGCTATGGGGTTTGAGCCATCTCTTATCCCATTTGTCGTCGTAGTATTCTTCTTCTAACTCGATTACTTCATAGTCTTCAGGGTACTCCTCGGTGTGCATCACCGGGTCTTCCCCCTTCCGTTTGAGGCTTTGTCAGTAACTGTAGTCATCTTCCTCATCGGGCACTTCTTCAATGGAGACGTTCTTTTTATTACAAACTGGAGAATCACATAATGGTCCCACCGACCCGCCCACCGGGGAACACGGGCCCCCGGTGCCATTATGTGTTAGTGACGAAGATGGAAGGCGTACCGTGATTGGAGGGGGTTGAATAATGTCCCCGGGCGTCTTGACTGTTATTTGTGGGGCGGCGTCTTTCTTGATGGGGATTCGCGTTCCCTCTTGCGGCTCTGTTGTGTCGGGGTAGTTGGCCGCATAGGGCAGGTGCGTACGTTCCGTCTTCGGGCGAGGCCCTGCATCGTTCCTCTCCCGCCTGAAGGCGCCATCGCCCACTACTGACTCAGCCGCTCTTCCTCCGTTTCCTGCGCCGGTACCTACCCGTCGCGGAGCGATGTTGTCCTTGATCCCGTGTATCCCGCCGCCTTGTGCAGCATGCGCCGCTTGTGCTTTCGCACCGGTGGCCAAGGAGCTTGAGTGGGGTTCTTCTTCGAGCACGGTGGAAATCCCCTGTACACCATCCCTTTTTATATGCGACTTGGTAATTTCATTTTGTGATAGCGTGAAAATTTTGTCATTGCCTCGAGGTACTACATGCGGTACATTAGTCTGACCAGCGGGGTTCTGTGACGCACCACTAAATGAAATTGTGTCCTTTGCCGACGCGCGTTTGTCGCTTACGCTGCCGGCTCGTCTTTTACCTCCTCGACTTTTGACGTGGAGGCTTCCCCTTCTTCATCCTTCAATACTTGTTGATACATTGCGCGAATTTGGGCACGCGAGAACTTGGGCTGGTGTTTGACGAGCCACGTACTTTCGTCTTTTGGGCACTTGTTGTCTTGTTTCCGATGGCCCTTGTGACCGCAGCGGAAGCATCGTCCTTCCTTCCGCAGTCGATCTATTTCCATCGGTTGTCCTTGGCCCCCGTACGTGGTGCCGGTTCCTGTCTTCTTGTCACCCTGGGAATTCCCGGAGCTTCCGGCTTTTCCCGTTCCCTTGTTCTGCTGCCCCTGCGTTCCCTGGTTTCTGCCTGCGTCCTCCGCTAGTCCTACGCGGTAGTTGTAGTCCATTTGTTCTACTCGGAACTTCCATTCGGCATATGTACGAGGCAGCGCAGTGCCTGTGGCGTGTATTGCAGTTTTTACGTTTTTGCGGATTGCTGGTTTGAGTATTTCGATCATGTATTCTTCGTTGTGGCGTTTTCCGGACTCTTTTGCTAGTCGTTCAAAGTCACGGAAAAATTCCTTTGCCGATTTGTACGTGTTTTGGCGGATACGCTTGAACTCCTGTAATTTGAGTTCCACTTCCGCATCGGTTCGGAACTGGTCTTCGATGATCTGCCTGAATACGTGCCATGCGGGATATCGCAGGTATCCACACGTCTCGTCGTAGTACTCGTCCCTAGCGTGATTCCACCAGTGTAAGGCCTTGTCGGTAAATCGGAACGTGCAGAACACGACTCGGTTAGGGCTTTGCCCGTGCGCGTTCATAGTGAACTGTTGGGGAAATACGTTGAAATAGTCTTCACACTGGTTGAGGAATCGATCCACATCGCTGGATTCCCCCTTGAACTTTTCGGGGGGATCCGCGAGCTGTGGTTTCACCTGCGCCCACGGATTGGTGTTGGCCACTCCTACTATGAACAGTGGTGGCGTGTTGGGTGGTTGTACAGGATCAGCGGGGATAGGTATTGCCGCCGGCCGCGGTAGCGATCGTAGTGCCGGGTTGTGATGCGGGGAAAGGGGTCCTTGTGGCACGGGTGCTGGTACTGGTGCCACAGGGGCTGCTGCTGCTGCTGCGCCTGCGCTTCCTGGCGTGCCTGCGGCTGCGAATAGCCGACTAGGGTCCACGTAACCTGTTCTTCTAAGAATGGATAGATGGCTTAGGTCCACCGTGCTGCCGCTTGTGTCTGACGGAGCGGGTACTTGGTACCATTCCCCGGGGTCCGTGTAGTCGTTGGGATGTACTTGGTTCCATAAAACGTTGGTGTGGAACACAGTTTCCCGGTATATCACCTGGGCTCCAATTTGCGAGGCTTTTTCTTTCTGGAAGTACCTTCCCTGCGGCGAGCTGTTCCATGACAGTTCCCGTGGTAATTTCTTTTCTGTCCATCGCAGCATTTCCAAATAAGTCATATTTTCTAACTCGGCCTCAGTAGGCTCCCGAGCTAGATCCTTCCACGAATTCGGGGATAATATCCTCCTCTCCGTATTCTCCGACCCTATGCTGCTGCTGTAAGTCGAAGTCCGCTCTGTTCCAGGGTTCTCGTAGATTTCGCCTTCTTCTAAGTCCGATAGGTCGGACTCGCTCGAAAGGCTCCGTGCTTCCCGTGACGATACGGTTCCAGTTTCGGATGATTCGGGCCCACTCGTTGACCCTGAGAATGACCTGATCGAAGTCGGGCCTTCGAGGTCGGTCCCATACCCAGGGTGCAATGTAGGGGACGGGGGCCGCGAGGGGATGTTCGGCTGCGAGTGGATAGATGGCATAGGGGACGACGGACGCGGGTGGTTCGATTCCTTCACACATTCTCCATGCGTCGGCGTAGTCCTGTGCTTGTCTGCATACATCGCAGCTGGCGTCGGCGTCATATGTGGGCTCGCACCGGTCGAGCTCGGTAGTGGCTTCCCCGGCCCTATCGTTGATGATGATTGGGGTGTTTGGTCGCGTGACGAGGTTGAGGTAGCTGCCTTCATCGTCTGATGAGTCACTACGGGCGTAGTGGTAGCCCCACGTTTCTCCTCTTGAGTCGAGGCGGGGAGGGGACCAGTCGTTGCGCGGCCCTGGGAGCTCGTCGCCATTACTGTCCTCTTCTGTATCGCTGCTTTCCTCATCTGAACTGCTTCTAGTTCCATCTTCAGCCTCTCTTCCTTCTCCCAGATGATATCTAAGCCCTCTTTGATAGAGGCGTTGTCCGTCTGAATCATATCCAGGGTTGGTGGCTGAGTTTTCTGTGGATGAGGGGGAAGGGGCGTTCCAGGGATCACTTCCTTCGCTTTCCCCTTCACTTTCTTCTTCGGTAATGGGAGAGAGAACACGCTGGTCCACCCCTTGTTCGTAGATTCCTCGCTCTTCTTCTTCTTCAACGATTGGGCCTCTTTGTGCGGGCCATCCTTCCACCTCGGAGTGGGACTCACTGGACTCATCTGTGTTGGAGTCTTCTGTGATCCACTCGTCGTCGTTGATGAAGATGAAATGGATGATGGGTTCAGGTCGGTCGTCGACATATTCGGGGGGGGGGTGTGTTCGGTCGTCTATCCTCCGGGTTGGGGGTTTCGATGGGGAGAGTTTCCTCGGAGACTGGCTCCTGGTTTCATCGGTATTCGTATCCATATAGGAATGCAAGATAGGCTACGGCAATAAAGCCTTGTAGTCCAAAAAGATCGGTGAGGTATTGCTCGATAGGGTTCATTCGTTACTGTTCGTCAACGTGGTTGTTGATGAAGAGTAAGAAAGTCTCGAACTAATTGTTAGCGACCGATATAACAAACAAGATCAAACAACTAAGTGTGACTCGCACTTCGGTCAGGCGCTTTGTGTTGTCCGCAGGTTTGCGTTTAAGGGAGCTATCGCTTAGTTGAGCGAGAGTGAGTTCAGACTAAGTTATCGGGTGAATAAACTTTAGTTCGAGACTGAGGTTTAAGACCTGCAGTCGAGCTACTTAAATACAGTTTGGGTCGTGCTAAATATACTACAAGTGTCTGCAACGGTACGGTAAACGTACTGTACCCTCATGGTGTAATGCGATCAAGTCCGGAGAATTAGCATAGCGGGATTACGAGAGAGCCGATAAGATAAGATAAAGCGCGAAATCGTAATAAACATAAAGCTGGAGAACAAGCTTCATCTTGACGATCTTCTCCATGTCCGCCACTGAAGCTGCCGAACCATCCGGATTGAATGCGGGGGTAGCATCGAGCTCTCATCATGCCAAAGACTGTCCAATACCAAATACATCCTTTTTCTCCCACCAGGTGTGGCCGAAAATAACCAATCTCCTTCCCGCCATTTGAAAAATTTCCTTGCTTTCTTTCGTTTTGAGGATCGATGCTTGGCCAGAGGCATTGTTTAATACAGAGTTCATGTTACCAGCTGAGATTTGGGAGGACTGCGAGGTTGGACCACTGGAAGAGTCAATGGGAGCAGGTGCCATCTGTAGAGCACGGATCTTGTTCTGTAGGGTCTGATTTTGGACCTGTGCATTTTTCAAAGCCTATTAAAACATCAGTATTCTGCAACAATTTGATGTATTGGTCAGCTTACTGTCCAAAGATCTTGTACAGACATGTTTCCGAAAAGCTGGGAGAGGTTTTCAATGGCCTGAGTATCCATTGTTGCTGAGTATTTGTCTCGTTGGGGTTGGGAAGAAAAAAAAAACGTTGGTACCGACGTCGAAGTTGTCGGCTGAGTTTAAATTGTTATGTCAGGTGTTCTGTGCCATCGCAGCCTTGAGATGTGCTTCGTATGCTTGCTTGAGTACTGCAAGCTAAGATTAATCATTGAATGTAATAGAAATAATGAAAGACATTACCAGCTGAAGAACCCTGATTTCTGAGATAGTTTGTCTTCTACCATAGACGCTAAACACAACGATAAGTGCTTGAGAACTTCAATGAGAGCTTGTCAATGTCTAAAAATGCAACAATATGATGCAATGATATACATGACAATTCTGAGCGAACTCAGGGCTAAAAGGGGTCCTTTGCATTGTTTCTTGAGATGTCTGCCACCGTAAGTACCACGATATCAGATAAACATCATTGATATCTCAAATGAGTCCTGATAGATGGTGTGAAGGAAAGGTCGTGGTGAGCTAGTTAGAGCATGCTGAAAGAGCATCGGGTACTTGTTGTTCCCTACTGAACGAATGAGATGTTCTGTCAGACACACCTGGGAAAAGGCCTCATTAACTAACACTTACCGACCATTTTATTATGAAAATGTAATGCTCGATGGGCATCAGATGTGCTGCATTGATTGATACAGGGGGAGCAACACTGCAAACTTCGGTTATATCTGAAGCGACGGCAGACACTAGCAGGAACGTACCAGATTCATACAATGGGACAATGCCGTTGACTCTTTGGAAGCGTCTCCAAAATTGTGACGATGATAGGATGGGGTTCTTGACCAGACAATTCAGAATCTACTATGAGATCGATTAAGAATCTGGGTCGATGTTTGCACTTCAATCCACGCCAATGAAGCGCAAGCATCGAAGCTCATAGCGAGAAATGGGGGTGGGTATCATCTACTCACCTTCAGATGGTTCTTGCAAATTCAACCGTTGATACAACAAGTGTATGTGGCCACCGTGAGGGATTTCCCAAATGTTCGCAAGCACAGAAGATTTTACAAAAAAGGTCCTAGTATACATGTCGCTAAATTATCTATACTGTCAGTCAGCTCATTTCCTTGCAGTCCCATGCACCAACTTACCTTGCTGAAGCACAAGACGGCCCAATCCCAGAGCAGAGATAGACTGTCATGAATCACCCCTATTTTTCACTTATCTTATCTTATCTCATCAACTCGTCATTTGACTCTCATCATCATTCCTTGTACCTAATCTGCCTCATTCATGACCCAATCAATCACATGCATCACCCACCATTCACATGCATGATCTGTTTGATGGCCCATAGATCTGATCACATGACTATGGGCCTGACCCTTCTTCAACCAGTCATGCTTCTTTAGGTTGACTCTGATCACATCCTAGGACAGATAGGATGCCACATATACCTCCCAGAAGATAGCGCCATACGAACGCTAGTCTTCTTACTTGCAGGGGGACTTCTAGCATATCAAGCGTACCAGCCTAGAAGACAGCGATGCTTTGGGATGGGTACCTATTAGTATATACCGCAATGTATTTAAACCTAGCCTTGCTGTGGGCTTACACCCCAGCTTCGGCTAAAGTTATACACTCCTAACTTTTCACACAGAAACTCCCTGTTTCGTGCCTAAGAACTATCGTCCTTAACCCAGCGATTGCAACGCCCTCTTCACAACTGAATCACTGAACGTGAGTGACAGTTTAGAGGCAAACATTGTTCAATCCAAGTTAGTGCGTTACAATTAGCCGAAGCTTGCTTCGCATACCCTCACCACCGAACCAACAGACACACTGTTGTTCTACATATTCCTGTTACGACTCTCTGCAACAACAGTAGTCATACTGTTAATCATAACCAGTACTTTCATCAGTTACCGTTGATGGTGACCGTATGAGCTTTGAAAATTATGAAGCTTATTACTCCACAGTTACCCTCGAATCCATGCTCCTCCTATACACTTACGAGCTAGAACGAGCACAACAAAGAGCACCGACCCTCCCGAGTGAGAGAGTAATGGACTCCAATGAATCCTCAACCGGACACCTCACTCCCATCAGACTCCGCCCAAGCATGCCGCAACCCCCCGTTGAAGAGGCTGGCTGTGGGCACCTGTGGAATAGTGAGCAGGCTAAAAGGCGAACCTCAAAAACCCACACACACACTCACACAACTACACAAACTACAATCACCCTCGTAAGTTCTAGAGGGAGTGATTATTTCTAGTGCGATCCAACTATACTTCAATATCTCGAAGAGTTTCTCTTATTCTCAGCGCTCTTAGCGAAGCTAAGCTTTCTCTAATGACTTCCTAAGTCTAGGAACTTTTTACAGGAAGGTCGTTCACTGGCGCGACGCAACCTTCAAGGCAGATTTGAGTTATAATACACAAGGGACACTGATCCCAACAGAAACAGAGGCAATACATGCCAAAACTTTAGTGAGCTCGCTAAAAGAACACCACAGGCAAGCACTGACTTAGCCCGCTCGCTACACAACTGTATGTAGGGGTTCTCCAACTAACTCCAGCAGGTTATCTCGACTCAAGAACACTTCAGAAGCGCTCGGAAAACAGATTCAGAAATGGAACTTCGAACAGAACTGACACGGAACAGACTGAAACAGAACAGAACAGAACAGAACAGAACAGAACAGAACTCAGATTTCCACTTCAACACATTCTCTGAACAGACTTATCACACTTAACAGAACAGAAACAGCGTCACTGATTCGTATTCACTCTGACTAAGTTCTCAAAAGTCTTATCAAAAGGGTATCTCGTATTTCTCTGAGTGAGCTCGCTAATTCTATGCACAGCTCGAAGTCACAAACTGATCCTTTGTTACAGTACCGCCTTCAACGCGTGCACGGGAACTCGGGGGCTCAAAACTTGGCCTCTACCTACTGTAACCAGCCTACTTATACTACAGGGGAATTAGAATTACAAATGTCACGCAGTACCCAGACTCCTACATGTGTAGCACATTGATGAGCCTAAACTTCCATGGCAATGGCAAAAACCAAAACTCTAGAGGAGTTCACAGCAAATGGCGTGTAGCGGCAATAAAGGCTTTGTTGTTGTGCGAGTGTTTCAGTGCACCTCCGTGCGATGAATTCCTCAAGAACGCAAGTATACTCTGCAACTTTGCAGTCAGCAAGGTAGTACCCTTAACGATTGAGTACTAGAAAACATTGGCTGTAAGCCGGGAAGGGTCTCGATGTACGAGAAGAAACGGAATCCAGTATAACTGGGAATACCGGCAAACCATGAACGAAGTGATGGCAATTTAACTAGTAAAAGCCATGGGTGATGTTGACGGAATTAGAGAAAATGCCATCAAAGAGAAATACCATTGGCAAGATAACAAATACCGTGATGGCAAGAGATGAAGACTGTAGTCGAGAAACGAGAAACTGGCGGTAAAACGAAGATAAGACGAACTGGCAATGATATGAGGGGGAACTAGTGACGGTAAAACGATGGCTGGGACTGGGCTGGACTGAAACTGAAACTATACTGAGGTTAACGACAGCAAAACGAAACTGATACTAATCCTGAGTCTACACGGAGACTATCCTATACTGAAACTGACGGCAAGATACCAAATACCGTGACTGATGATCCTATACTGAAGCTGTTGACCAAAATTCTGTGACAGATGCTGCTGGCGGCAATAACGATCCTAATCTGAGTCGACACAGGGACATAATGATCCTGAACTGAACTGGGTAAAACAATGGCGATGTAGAAGGTGAGAACTGATGAAAACAATCCTGGCTGGTGAAAGTGAAACGATGCTGGCGGATTAAAAGATAAAAGCGAGTTGTGGACACCAAATTCCATGTATTGGTGCAATATGAGCATACACCAATACTGTTAGAAGAAAAGCCATGACAGAGAGTATAACTTGGAGTGACTATGTTGTTATTGTCTATCTCCTAGCGAGTACAAGCAATAACGGTGGTCGATAACGTGGATGATGGCTAGTGTCCAGTAACTTCTCTAGCCACTACTATTTTCCGTGATGTATACTAGCTTTTATACTACGAGTCCGGAATAAATTTAGAATACTTGAAGCGAGTCCTTAGTAAGTCTGTAGTACATAGATTGGTAAGAAATGATACCAAACACATGTTCCCAAGGTTCTAAAGTAACAGCACCCATATGGATTTACCGCATATAGATGAAGTGATTAGCAAGAATGCCACTGATCTCCGGAATTTTGAGCTGCTGTGTTGCTGTGGCAAAGTACACTGAAGCAAGTGTACTAAAATAGATGCTTGCAGCAATCTCTTGGCGGTATAACAGCCTTAGTAAAGACTGAGGAAAGGTCACGGCATTAGAGCTAATGCCATGGAATTGCCATTTGAGCTGCAGAATTGTGGCTGTGCTGCGGAATTGCAGCTGTGCTAGGCAATCAGATGGGATTCTAAATCCGCGAGATCGACAATCAGGTGCCTGGCAGAATTAATGAAAGAAGACTGGTGGAATTAATGAAAGGGGCACGTAATTGATGTGGGGTACAAGTGGGGAAGGATAATTGGTGGCATTAAGCAATATTGCCAGGATTGAAATAGTAGGTTTGTGTG